ATCAGGCTTTCTGCTTGGCGGGGAGCCTGCTTACCCACCCCACCCCTGCCTGCCTCTCTGCCTACTTGTGATCTCTCTCTCTCTGTCAAATAAATAAATAAAATCTTAAAAAAAGAAATAAAAATAAATAAAAAGAGTTGTTTTCTTCCAAGAGGCTTTCAAGTACTTTTTATTTTTGTTTCCTCAACACACTGCGATCAATAGGAGGGCAGAGATTGTGTTTTTGTTTTTGCCTTTAATGTCCTTTATCTTCACTGTGGTATGTGCATGCACATGTGTGTGCTGTATCCAGGGGCTATCAGGACAATGATTCTAAAACTCAGTGTTTGGACATGTCCTTCATGTGACCTCAGATCAGCCCTGTGAAGAAGGAGCCAAGATATTGCTATTTTACAGAGCAGAAGACTGAGGCTCAGAAAGGTGTGGCTTGGGAATTTAATGGCAGAACTAGGTCTAGAACTCTAGTCAGCTGGCTCCCAGCCCAGATCCCTGATCCCCACAATGCCTTTCTTCCAGTTCTCTCCTGATAGTCCCGGCTGGGGCCCTGGAGTAGTCAAAGGGGTGACCTCTGCCATCTTTTGCATTCATTCTGTTTTCTTCATCTTGGGGTTAAGGAGACCCTGTCTTTGACTTCCTGCCCCTCCCCATCTTGTCCCACCGCTTTCCCTTGTGTCCCCCACATGTCATTGTTGGTACATAGACACATACACGTATACTAAGAACTGCAGGTGTCTAGGGCAACAGACCACAGGGGAAACCACATCACCTTTGTTGACATTGAAGGGGAACAGGGGGACAGGGTAAAGGACTCACTTCGTTCCTTCCACCTGCCTTAGTCTCCACAGTCATCTGGTCTACCAACCAACCTGAGCCATCTGGATTTGTAGCCTCTTCTGGACTTAGCCATCCAATTCTGGCCCGGAAGGATGTATCCCCCCTTCCCTCCCATCTTGAAATCCAAGGTGGGGGGCCTGGCTGGCTGCACTCCTAGTCCTAACTGGAATACTTACGTAGCTCCTCTGATTCTGACTGTGTGATGCCAACAGAGAAAGGGGGGAGCCGGTGATGAGACACTATGGCTGGGGTCAGTTGGGAGGTACATTTGGCTTCGAGAATGTCACACATACATCAGCTGAGACCTCAAGCAGCCAGGTTTACATGAGGCCAGCGGCTTCTCCATTGTTCCGACCTGCCACGAGATACTGCACAGGCTCTGAATCAGACATTCAGGATTAAGTCATTTACTGGCTGTGTGGACTTGGGCAAATCATTTTGTCTTTCTGAACTTACGTTTGCTCATTGAAACAATGGGGATAATGACAAGATATAAGTGAAAGGACCTTGAGCAGTAAATGATACAAAGGAGACGCTCAGTAAATCCAAATTATCTTCCCTCCTTCCTTCCTTCCTGCCTTCTGCTTGCTATATCTGGTCCCATGAAACCCTTTATTTGGATCTGGAGACCTACCTCCCCTATCAATCCGCAAATCCCAAACCCTGTGAATTGGCATTTGATCCCAGGTTCAGAAACGGGAATGCAAGGCCCACCCCAAACCAGTGAAAACTGTGAGGTCTCATGGAGGCCACGGGGAATGAGCACTTTCTGATTGGCTTTGTGGGGAGTGTGTGGGAAGTGTGGGTTAGGGAGGAATTGTGGCTTTGGCTACCGCATCTAGAAGGCAAGGACGAGAGTGGTCTCAGAGCCCTGAGTGTAGACTGGATGACTTTCTGGAGCTTTGAATCCTGACCCAGGGTGGGCACCTAATAATATTTGTTGAAGGAGCGAATGACCCCATCGCTTACTAGTTGGGTAACTTTGGTTCAGATTTCGTAACCCTTGTGGGCCATACTTTAATCGTGAGCATAACAAGGATTATTAAGAATAAATGATCTAATGTCTGCCAAGAGGATAACATAAGCCTGCTACACGGCATATAGTTGTAAAGTACTCAAGTAAAGATAGGAGAGGAGAAAGAGAAGGTCAAGTAGGCCCAGAAGCCCAAAGAGAAGCAGAAGGGGTGTGTCCTGAAGCTTGGGACTGGCCAGAGAGTCCAGGAAGACTCAAGGAAGCCAAGACAGGTCATATGGGGCTAAAGTCTTCTGCAAGGTGCTTGGCTGAGCCCCCTGGGAAATAGGTCTGACTCCAGAGCTCTGCAGAGAAACTTCCCATGGTAACCAGGATAGAGGAGAGACAGGCAGCCTGCACTTTCCTGCCTCATGTCTCTCAGCGCTCCTGGGGCCTCTGATACATCCCAGCAAGGGGCATGGGACTTAGAAACTGGCTTAAGACCCTGCCTCCGGTGGAAGGGTGGTGGTGCTGGAGTGAGAAGTTCTGCTGTCCAGGGAGGGAGGTACACAGTCCAGCTTTCTGGGTACTGGTCTCACATGTGGTCTTGCTGTCTACAGTTTGGGGATGGTGAGTTCTGGTGTGTGTAGGAAGCGCTGGATACTTGGGGGACAGACTGAGGCAGGGGGAGACAAGACTTTTTTGCTCCAATCTCTTAGAATTCAGTGATTAGGTCAAAAAGAAAAAGAAGGCTCAAAAGAAATATGTGAATGATGCACATGGCAGAAATGAGGCAACAAGGGCCTGATTTCAGTCCAGAAACTACTCCGGGAGGCCTGGGGTGTATTAAGGTGTGGGGATGGCAGGGTTAAAGGAGATGATGTGGGGGAGGGGAGAGGCTAGGAGTCTGAAGTAGCCAAACAATTTTTCTGGAAGCCATGGGCACGAAGGAGGGATCTGGAAGGATCCAGTCATCTGGTTTGGAGGTGAGAGCTGGGAAGAATGCACCTGAGGCAGAAAAACATGCGTCTTGCAGTGTCAGCATGGGAGGTCATGGGGAAAAGGGGTGTCCAGCTGGGGGAGGAATGGTCCTTGACATCCGGGAACATCTGTCTCACTTCAGCAAAGAACTCATAGAGAACTTGAGTTCTGTGCAAGCCATTTAGCAAGACACTGCAAGAAACGCACCTATGACTAAGGGATCAGGGGACGTCCACTCTTGAACATTCTTGGGAAGAAGGAGAGTTGAGACACGGAGACTAGGTGGATGAAAGTCAGTGCACAGAGCAAGACTGACAAAGTGCTGGTGGGGTCCTTTCAGGGAGGGGGAGAATCCCTCTGGCTATGGGAATCCTGGAAAGTCTCCAGGAGAAAGTGGCTATAGACCCCTGAGAACTGGGAAGATTTCAACAGGAGCAGCAAGGGATGGGGAGGGCATCATTTGTGGAGGAAACACGATGGATGAGCCAAAGTAAGGGAGTAGGAAAGCCTGAGGGCATGATGGGGCACAGATAGGAGCCCAGTTTAACTGAAATAATGAGAGAAATAACTAATATTGTTGAGCACCAAGTACCAGGAGCCACTGGGCAGAAGAGCGAGAAAAAACTAGTGGGATATGGGGGGAGGGAGGGGTGTTTGCACAGTGTGCTGCCGTGCCATAGAAGGGCTTGGATGCCAGGCAAGGAGCTTGTGAGAGTTAGTTAACAAGAGCAGAGGGGTTGGATCTGCCTGCTGACTGAGCCTTGGAAAAGGAAAGGGACCGCTACAAACCCCAGGTAGCAACAAGTGAGGAGGCCCAAGCTGCGCTTGTGCGAATGAGTCTGTAGTCAGAAGCTGGACCTTGCCACGTCCAAGCCCTCCTAGGCCACCGTGGACTCTTGCCTCCCATGTGGTATGGCTCTGCTTCTGGCTCCGCCTCAGTTTCTCCTTCGGTAGAATCGTGAGGCTCTTGGGGTTCCAAGGATAGAGGGAGGTAGGATGGTTAGGAAGTCAGACGGAAGCCACATCCTGCCTTCTGGAGGTGACGCCTCCCGCCTCCCATCACCGGAGAGTCTAGTGTTTTGGGCTGCGGACCTCTCCCCTTCCCAAAGCCAGCCTCTGTCTCCCACCCAGCCCATTGCCAGAGGCCACGGAGCTGATAGGCTAGGCCAGGGAGCACAATGGGGAGGTCCTCAGCCCCTGACCCCTGAGTCTGACCTTCTGGTCCTGTTAAGAGGTGGGGGGTGGGTGGGAAGGGAGTGCAGGGAGGACTGCTGCGCAAATCTGGCCCAGAGCTGGGTTTACTAGCTGAGGGAGGGCTGGAGGCGGCTGCATTCCGACTCACAGACTGGAACATTTCTGTGATCCGCTGTAATGCACTGGGAGACACTGGGCACATTGCTGAAGTTTGACTCATAGGGACTGGGAGGGGGAAAGAAGAGGGAAGGGTTGTGGGGGGGAAAGAAATGGGAGGAAGAGAGGAAGAGGAGAGGAGGGAAGGAAATCCCTTGAGAAATTTCTTTAAAAAAAGAAAACTTTCAAAATCAGCACCGCCCCCACCCCTTTTTTCTTTTAATAGGAACAGGCTGGACCCTTCTGTTCCCCTCAGCAGGCGTGGGGGGGGACAGGGGGGAGGGCTGGGCAGTGATTCAAATCAGATCCTGGAACTTTCCTCAGGCAAGTCGTGTTGATGAGGGGTATGGTGGGGGGGTGGACAGGGGTGTCCGTCTGGGATTCCTTGGCCGGGACTTGGGACTCCACGAGTGCCTCACGTCCCTGTGCGCGGCTGTTTGCTGGTGGGGCCGTACGTGCACGCACTTGCGAGCGCGGGGGTCCCTCCCAGAAGTGTGTCTGTGCGAACGATTGTACCCCTGTGTAAACAGGGCTGTGCGCTCGTGTACGCTGTGTATGCAAGGCTGCTTGCGCTCAGGTATCTGGGTTTCCGGGAATTGTGCGCGGGTCCGCTCCCGGCGCCTGGGGCTGGGCGGCAGCGCGGCGGCCGCGCGCGGGTCGGGGCCGCGTCCCGCGTTCCGGGTTCTGCGCTGCCTCCCCGGCCGCGCTGGGTGTCCGCCCGCCGCCCGAGCGCCGCGCGGGTCAGTGTCTGCCGCGGTGGTGTGTCCCCGGGCCGCGAGCGCCTGCCCCCTCCCTCCCCTCCCCCTTGGCCCGCTCTCAGACTCAGATAAAGCATTTCCTTCCATTGTCATCCTACCCGGCCGGCCGGGCTGCCAGGGCCCTCCCCCTCCCGGCCCCCTCCCTTCCTCTCGCCGTGTCTCAGTCGCTCTGCAGCCGCCGGCGACTGGGGGGATGTGAGGCCGGCGCCCCAGCCCCCCGCCCCGCCATGAGCCCCCCGCTCTGAGGGCCCCGGCCCCTGGATGCACAGCCCCGGCGCTGGTGAGTACTGGGCTGCGCCCCCCGCCCCGCCCGCCCCGCCCTGCGCGCGGCACCCAGCGCCGCCCGCCCCGGCTCGGGCTCGGCTCCGGCTCCGGCTCGGGCTCCGCGCGGCCCGCGGGCCCGGCCTGGAGTGCGCCCCCCGGCCGCGCCCGCCCCGCCCGGCTCCGCGGGGGCTCTGGCAGGTTCCCCCCACCCCGCCTCGGCCGGGGCCGGTTCCGGGGCCGGAGGGCTCGGGCCTCCCGCGGGGCGCCCACATCCGCCCGCCCCGGGGCAGCGACAGGCCCGAGGGAGGGAGTTGGAGGCCCCGGGCCGCCGGCGCGCAGGCCGGGCGTCCCATCACCCCCAAGCCCGGGGAGGACGGACCGGCGGACCGGGGGAGGGACAGAGGGCCGCCGCGGGGCCCGGGAGGGGGCGGTGCTCCGGGGCGGAAGGTTTGGAAGCGCGAGGGCAAAGGGCACGACCCGCCGAGTTGGGGCCCGGCTCTTGGCGCTGGACATCAGCGCCCCCATCCCGCGGGGCCCGGGAGGGCCGAATGCAGCCGACCCCTCCGCAGGGGGTCCCGGACCGTGAGGTTTCTCTGAGCACGGCCTCCCACCCTTGCTCACCCATCAGGGAGACACCTGTGCCCAAGTGAGCTGCTGAGGTGCCGGGAGCGGCGCGAGAGGGTGGGGACCACAAGACTGTGTACTGAGGAGTGGGGAACGGGATGTGCGCCCCCCAGGCCTGAGGTCTGTTGGTGCTGGGGAGCGTGAGCAGGGGGTAAATCTGGCAGCTCCGACGCCCTGAGTTCCATAGGCCCGTGGCTAGGAGAGAGCCCGCTGGAGCTTGCAGGCCACCGAGTTCCCCCAGCCCCGTTTCCTTCTCTCTGCCTGCCCATTCGTATCTGACCTCCCAGCCACTGCTGCTCCTCCCCCCAAGTCCTGGCTGTTCCCTTGTCTCTGCTGGCTGTCCTGCACACAGAGGCCTACCACCGCATCTGGACACTGGCTGTCTTGCTGCTGCCCATCCCTCCCCACGCCCAGATTCAACATCTGCTTGAGGCCCAGCTCTGCCTGCCAGTTTTTAGGTTGAGAATGAGGCATTGGCCCTCAGTGACCCTGCTGGGGACTCAGCATCTGGACGCATCTGCCTGTCCCTTGGACTTGCAGCAGGACCCATGGGAACCTTCTCCAAGACCACTGCCCAGCCACTGGACTGAAAGAAAGTAGACTGTGACTCAGTTCCCTGTCTCCTAATGGGGTACTTTGGTAGCCCATATCTCCCCAACAAGGACCCCATAGTCCAGGTCCCTAAAGTGGCTTGGCTGCCACACACACTTCTTTCCTCACTCCTCACCCCAACCCTTTTATTCTTCCCAGGCTCCTTCTCTGGCTTCTGCAAGCTACTCTTAGCTCATCGTTGCTTATCAGCTCATCCTCCTTACTCTCTGCTCTGTGTTCCCTCTACTTGCCTTAGTTTTTAAGTAATTTTCTTCTCTGTATTCACTTTAGAGGGAAACTAAGGCACAAAGCAGTCACTGTGTTGTACCCAGTGAACCTAGACCAGAACCAGGTCTGGACCCGCTAGTACTCTTACCTGCCTTTAGTCCCCTGATGTTCCCCCACCCTGTAGGGACAGGCTCAGAGCTGCTCCTTGGTGTTACATCCAGAATGGCCCTGGGGCAGTGTCCTCCTGAGGCCTCTGTGTTCTTAGCTTTGGCCCCCGGGTGGGTGTCTCTCTGGCCGCTTGGTGTTAAGCTGGGATTCTGACTGAGGCTGGCAAGGTTGCATTCGGGTCTTGCACTGACCCCCCCCCCCCCCCCCGCCAAGAATCTAAACTGGTCCCTCTGCTTTGACACTGAAACTCAGTTTCCTCATCAATAAAATGGGGACAGTATTTCAGGTCCAATTCCCAGAGCACAGAAGAAGAGAGGTTGACTCGAAAGAAACGGACTGGCGTCTAGTGTGGAGACTGTTATGCTGCCCCCAGTTTCCTTCAGGGATGATGGACAGACCCCAGCTTTCATCCTTGGTGGCTTCTGGGAAGGAGAGTTGGAACTCTTTCTTTCTCTATCATCTCCCCAATCCTCAGTGAAAACCCCTGGGAGTGATGAACACATGTGTGATGGGGGTGGGGACCCCCCTTTAGTGTAGGCATGCTGGCTCAAGGACCTGGAAGGCAGAAGCTGGTGTAACCCCGGCCTCCTGTTCTCCTCCTCCTGGCCTTTCATTAAGAGCTGGTAATTTTCAAGTGCGAAGGGGAGGCGCGAGAGAAGATGAGCTCAGGCAAGGCCCAGGGTCACCCAGCCAGGGAATGGTAGGCTGAGTGGGCCAGAACCAGACCCTCTAACTCTGCTCGTGCCCATTCTCCTGACCTTCTCCTCCTCTGGCCTGGCTGAGGGCCGCCCAAGCCCACCTTTGCACCTTGGCCTTGTCCTGTCCTAGGTCAGACTAAAGACTGGATGGGAGGTATTGCTAGAAGCAGGGCCGGAGGAAGGCCCCGGAGCCGGGGGGGAGGGCATCTGTCCAGGACTGTGCATTTGTGTGTGTTGGATTGGTTCACTAGATGGGGCACTTCCTCTGGGGCAGGAAGCTTTGATTTCCTGTGGTGGGGGCGTTGGTAGGATTAGGAGTGGGGGGCTCAGCTCTGGGCCATCCCTGATGTCCTTTAGAGCCACAGAGGAGCACTTTCTGTCTAAGGCCGCTTCCCCCAAGCCAGGGAAGGCAGGAAGGAGCGCGCTGGTGAGGAGGCCCTAGCTGAGGCCAGAGAAGGAGGCCATGAGGGCAAGGAGGTGGTGTGTGTGTGTGTGGGGAGGGTGGTTAGTGGTGGGCAACACAGCAGGAAGCCTGGTCAGCAGGTGACCCTGCCGGCTATTGTGTTTCCCTGTGATATTTCCCCCCTGTTTCTGTGGTAACCTTCCCAAGGGGACCCAGGCCTTTGGGCTGCAGGAAGGTGCCCCCAGACAGCCCTTTCCTTAGAAGCCTGAGTATTAGGAGGAGTCCCTCAATCGGGCCACCTCCCTAGCCCTTTTGGCTCTCGAGGACCAGGGCCTGGGAATCCAGGCAAGTAGTTGGAGTGAGCACTGATGGAGGTGGAACCTGGGTGTGGACCCCTTCGTATCTCCTGGTTAGGGGATGGGGGGCAGCAGGGGAAGAGGAGGGTCTGCTGGACTTTGGAGAGGGCTCTGTACCTCCCCTCATTCTGTCTCTCCTCTCTCCTCCTCCAGCAGCCCTCCGTCTACCAGGGGACAGTGGACTGCATGCTGCCTGGGGCACAGGGTTGGGGTGGGGGTGGCAGAGGCCAGAGGGACATTTTCATCAGCAGAGCGTAGCTCCTTTGGTCCTGGACCGGTTCCCAGAGGCAAAATTAATTCAGGAGAGCGTTTGTTTAGTGTGGGTCCCCATGTGATGGGTGTGTGTGCACACGGGGTTTGTGGTGGGGGTCTGGTTGTGCGCCCTCTGGGACTGGTGTGTTTACTTGTGGTGTTTCCGTGGCAGTTTGTGACCCATGTGGTAGCTCTGGATGAGGTGTTTGGAGAGCACGCACACATGTAATTCAGAGGTTCGACATCCGTAGAGTTGTGTACCTTTGCGATTTATTGCTCCGTGTAGGATGTACGGACGTGTTTTGGGGGAACGTATACCTATGGAAGAGCAGGTTTTTCATAGAAGTCCGGATGTTTGCTGAAAAGCACTGTCTCAGTCGTGGTCCTCCAGTGCCGGTTCCCAAACATTTGCTTCCGGCACCTGGGAGGGGGTTAAAAATAAAGACCCTTGGGCCCCATTCCAGACCAACTCAGAATCTGCCGCGTTGGGGCCCAGGATTCTGGCTTATAATATGTGCTTCAAGTGATTCTGGTGCAAAGTCATGTGTGAGGACCACTGATCGGGGCCTAACATTTTCATTTTTTCTTTTGAGAAGACCGAGATCCATAAAGGTATGTGGTTTGTCCAAGGACACAGGGCTATGGAGAGGAAGATCTAGGACAGAAGTCCACCCTTTCAAAACTAGTACAGGACCTACCCAAGCGTCCTCTCGGTGTGCGTGTGTGCACGAGTCCACACTGGGCCCGATGGGGCCCAGTGTGGACGCGAACTGGGCCTTGACCTTTCCTCTGGGGTGCCAGGCTTCCCGAACTTGCTCTTCCTGTTACAGCCTGCTTTCTCTCCCTGAGGAAGTCCTGTAACTGTTGAGCATCTACCGTAAAGGGGATGGTGGCCGCCCGGGGGCCCCATTACTGAGCTGGTCGTTCAGCTAGTCACACCTTCGTTGGAGGCTGACGGGCCCTGCCATGTGCCAGGCACTGGGCGCAGATATGCAGTGAACACATAGGCAGAGTGTCTGACCTCAGGGAACTTCCACTTCAGTGGAGGAGAGAGACAGTAACGAGGAGGCAAGTCAAGAAATGAGTGTATATATATCTCGTACATTGTGATAAGCTCTAAGGAGGAAATGAACTGGGTGCAGCAATAGAGAAATAGCCAGGTGGGACTTCCTTAGAGAGGGTGGCCAGGTGGCTTGAGAAGGTGACATTGATGCCTTCTCTCACCTCCCCAGACCAGAAGTGAGTCCTCAGAGCTTCTGAGGCAGGCAGCAGGGTCTCTGCTCCCCCAGGCAGCCCCCTGAGGTTGGCGGAGGGGAAGGGGAGGAGGGGGAGCTGGGCAGTGCTGGAATTGAGGCTGCTCCAAGGAGCAGCAGCTTTTCCCTCTGCCAGGCTGAGTCCAGGGCCCCACGCAGGCACGTGTTGGGTGTGGGGAAGGCAGCAGCCTCTCCCCAGGAGCTCTCAAGCACCACCCCATTCCTGACGCTCCAGCCTCACCTTCCTCCCGCCTCATCCCCTTCCTCCCCATGTCTCCACCTGGGAACTCCCGTGCCAAGTCCCTCCTCTCTGGGTCTAGCCTGGCTGCCTCTGTAGCCACTGGGATTTATTCACTTGGCTCAGGAATCACTGTGGAGAGGGTCAAGAGTTAGAGAGGACCCGGCCCTGGAAGGGAGGGCGGACCAGAGAGAAGCTCTGGGCC